CCTACAAAACTCTCGAGTGACAAGATGCTTCCTTTCTCCCCTTCTTGCCAGATATCTGTACAAGCTTCGAGATTTGCACCGAGACTGTGAGAACTACACAGAAGCTGCCTACACCCTTCTCTTGCACGCTGAGCTTCTGCAGGTGAATGGCTCAGAGAGCTTGTTTCAACAGGGTGGAGTATACCGTCCTTTCAGACTAAATTCTATACATTTTATGATTTTGATGGGAAAGAACCTTATGCCAGGGATATCCTTTTATATAAGTTTTTAAAAATTCTTTCTAAATAGGCACGACTAATTTGTACATCAAATATGGGAAAATGTCAGTTATCTTTTATTTAAAAATCTTTAGAAAGCAGAGCATGACTTATGAACCTTTGGTAATTGACACTCTAATTAAAGCAATAAAACACACATTGATGAATACATAAAAAAAATATGTAAAACTGCAGAAAACCACAGAAAGATGAGTTATAAGTGAATATAGTACCATAGAAGTACTCTGCTATTTTTATTCTCTCCCTAAATAAATGTATGTTGTGGCTTAGATATAAATACATCTATATGCTATGAGTCCCAGGTAATTATTTCTGGCCCTGAGCAGCTCCTCTAACTTTGGATTTACATACAAACTTTGATTAGCTAATACGCAGCTCAAACTGAACAAGGTAGTAACAGGAAGTTTATTTCTCACTTTTTGCTCCTCCCCAACCCATCCTACCTCATTTTATTACCATGTTACTAATAACATTCCTATCCATTTAGTTTCTCAGGCAACCTCATAGTCATCTTCGATTTCTCTCTTTTACTCACCACCTCCCATGTTCTCCACAAGCAAGAGATGTGGCCCCTCTGTTCAGAAAATGCCCCTAACCTATCCAATTTTCCTTTTCTTTTTTTCTTTTTTCTTTTTTTTTAAGAGATGAGATCTTGCTATGTTGCCCAGGCTGGTCTTGAACTCCTGGGCTCAAGCAATCCTCCCACTTCAGCCTCCCAGAGTACTAGGATTACAAGTGTGAGCCACCATGCTGGCCAATCCACTTTTCATTTTATATCCCTGGCTAGCACCTTGGTCCATCCCATCAGCATGTCATACCTTGAGCACTACAGCAGCTTCCTGTTGGGTGTCTCTGTCTCCAGTCTTGTTCCCAGTTATTAATATTCTTTTAATTTTATACTAAAGTAATATAAGTGCATTGTCCTAAGATATGAATTAAAAACAGGGTTCCTATGCTTCACCACCACCCAAAGGAAATTCACAATTCATATTTAAGTTTAGGGCATTAAAAAGCTTATTGTATAATGGGCCAGGTGTGGTGGCTCACGCCTGTAATCCCAGGTCTTTGGGAAGCTGAGGGCAGCAGATCACTTGAGGTCAGGAGTTCGAGACCAGCCTGGCTAACATGGTGAAACCCCGTCTCTACTAAAAATACAAAAACTTTGCAGGGTGTAGTGGCGTATGCCTGTAGTCCCAGCTACTTAGGAGGCTGAGGCAGGAGAATTGCTTGAACTGCAAGGCGGAGGTTTCCAGTATGCTGAGATGGCACCACTGTATTCCAGCCTGGGTGATAGAGCAAGACTGTCTCAAAAAAAAAACAAAAAAACTTATTGTATATAGCTGAGAAAGTGAGGCTTGTTGACTGTAGATTTTGCCATTGGATGATCACAAAGACATCCTGAGTGTAACTGTAGGTCTCTTCATTTGAACAACTCAGTAAGTTAAACTCTCCTATCCTGGTATAAGGTATGAGGTATGAATGCAACTTTTTTCCACCCAGATTGCTATTCAATAGAGATGCTGTTAAGTATAGTTCACATTTTGCTTATTGATATAAGACCCCATCTTTATTACTAAATTCTTATTTTGGGGGCAGGGAATCTCTTTCTAGATTGTATATGCTTTTACGTGGGTCTCTGTCCATGTACCAGTACCATACTGTATTAATTATTAATTCTTGATAGTATGTTTTATGACCTGGTAGTTACTCTTGATTGCTCTTCTTTTTCAGAGTTTTCCTACCTATTCCTTTTTGTTTATTTTTCCATATGGACTTTGGAAAGATGAAATTTAAAAATTAATTTAGTGAGAATTTACATGTTAATGAAATAGAATTTTCTTATCCAAAAGCATGGTATGACTTTCCATTTGTTCGAGTCTGTGTTTGTGCCCTTCAATGGTGTGTGAAAGTTTTCTGCGTATAAGTCTTGCATATTCCTTGTAATGTTCACTCTTAGAAATGTTCTTTTTGGACTTATTTTTGTTTGGTTCCATTCTTCTATTATCTTCTGTATATTTAGTCTCCATGTATCTGAAATCTGTTTTATTCCAAGTATATTAATTGGTTTTCCTGCTGCGTAACTTAATTCTCTTACTGCGTGTC